CTTTCTGCCCTGGGAGCCCCGCTTGCTCGCGGTTTGGGTTTTCCAAGGTCTCGCCTACACCAAAGCAGCCTGTGTCCCTCCCGCTGCGGCCGCGGTGGCCCTCGTGCCTCTGTCCTGGTGTCCTGGCCGTGTGCCCGGCCGTGGCATCACGCGTTGACATGTGTCCAGCCCCAGCCCCGCAGCCCTGCGGTGTGCAAGGTCTGAATGTCCCCTCCCAATTCACACATACAGGAGCTGCCAGTTTCTCCCTGTTAAAAGGAGCAAAGGCCCTTTTGGGGGGGTGGAAGAGCATGTTGAGGCAGGTAGGGGGTGACGGGGTCCGATTTGATCGCAGCTCTCAGGAAAGCCCGGCGACAATTTTTTTGGCTTCTGCGGGAGGACACTGCGGCAGAGGAGGGCGGACAGGATGGAGCGGAGATCGTGCCAGACCCTCTCTCAGAGGCTGAGGTGAAGAACATGACATTCTCTGTGGTGATGGGGCTCCCTGGGGTCTTCCCCAGCCTCCAGGCACAGGGAGGAGCCTGGGTGGAGGTGGGTTTGGGAGGGTTTTCTGAGAAACAGCAAGGTTCTTTGTGACCACAAACTTGTGCCCTGGGTTTCTTTGCCTCCAGGATGAGGGTGAAATCTTAACCCTGGCACTGCTCGAAATTCATAGAATCACAGAATGGTTTGGGTTGGAAGGGACCTTAAAGCCCATCCAGTCCCACCCCCTGCCATGGGCAGGGACAGCTCGCACAAGCCCAGGTTGCTCAAAGTCTCATCCAGCCTGGCCTTGAACCCCTCCAGGGATCTGACATTCACCCATCTTTTAATTTTTTGATAGGTTCTTGAGCTGCTCAGAGGTGTGCAGAGGGGTTCAGAGGACAGGAGAAGATCACTGAGCCACCTCCGCCGGGCTCTGCAGAACAAGGAGACTCAGCAGAAGTTTGTCAGGTCAGCCCGGGTCTGGCACTGCGTGGCTATCATCAAGGCCACAGTCAGAGTGGCCCTTTGTCCCAGTCGCAGTGGGTGAGCTGGTGTGTGTCCGAGGGTGGGAAGGCAGGAGGTGACAGCACACATTGGGTTCCACTAGGCTGGACGGCAGCATCCGGACCCTCATCGGGCTCTTCACCAGCAGCCTGGCTGACATGCAGCTGGAAGCCGTGCGCTGTCTGCACGAGCTCTCCCACTCCAGTGACCCTGCTGTGGGCGAGGCGTGTCTGCCAGCGACCTCCTATCTCCTCACCTACCTCTCGGGACACAGCGTGGAGTTCACGGTAAGGCCCCTGCTTGCGTTTGCCAGAGCTTTGGCACCTGATGAACCTTTGGCAGCGGTTGGGTGTTTACCTCTTTTGGCCAGCCTCGGTCTAAGGTGGCTCACACGGGATTGCTGGTGGGACGGGACCATCTGGAAGTCTCTAGTCCAACCTTCCCCTTGTAGCAGGCCTGTCCCTGGTGCTAGCCCAGGGTGGCGTGGCTTTGTCTGGCCACGTCTTGGAAATATGCAGACCCCACACAGTGAATGCCCCGGTCCCAACACCAAGAGGAGTTTGGTTCCATCGTGTTTGCACCTCTGTCCAGGTAGCTGCAGGCACCTCTTAAATGGTCCCAGGCCTATCTGGGCCAGACAAATCCTCCTGCCGCAGCCCAGGATGCACTGGTTTGGCCCATTTGCAATGGGTTCCTCCTCAGGCTCTCTTTGGGGAAGCAGGGGCTGGAGGCTGGTGCAGCTGGACTCCATCACCAGTGATCTGGGCTCTCAACGCAGGCTGGGCCTGGAGAGGCTGGACCTTGCTGTCTGGCAGGGAGTAAAGCAGAAACTCTAGATGCAGGTCAGTTCAAGTGTTTTAAGAGATCTTGGAAAAATGAAAGAAATGAGGAGCTGCAGGCTGGGACGCAGGGACAGCTGCTTGGTCAGCTTGCCTTCACGCAACAAGCAGGCAGGCCTTCCTCCACATCAGGAGGAAGAGCAGAGCACCAATGGCTCCAAGCCATGCCGTGTGATCTGAGCGAAGGAGTGAACACTGGAGTAGCTCTGGGATGCCCAGGGGTTTTGCTAGCTGCCGAGCAGTGCGCCTCGTGCAGCATGCAGCTCTCCTTTGGGAAGCTCAGGGACAAGATGGGGAGCAACCCCACGGTGACAATCACATTTTAATGCAGCACGTGGGCAGTCTCCAGGAGAATAGTGTGGATTTGGAGGGGTCTTGGGGAAATGGCATCGCAATAATTACAAGCCTGAAAAACCTCCAGAGTAGAAGTGATCAGATCCCAAACTGAGACAGATAGAAAAAGGATAAATTGAAGCTGATACAGCTGGGAACGAGGTAGCTGGAGAGCCCAGCAGTACCCATCCGTGTTTACCCCTCTGAAGATGGCTTCTGCCCTGCTCAGGGGAGGTGTGTGCCCAAATCCCGGGCGCAGGGACCCGGAGGCATTGCTGGCTGCTCAAGGTCCTGCTGGGGTGCACAGAGGAGGTGACCTGTTCTCTCGGGTGTGTTTCAGGAGCTGTGTCTGTACACGTTGGGGAACCTCATAGTGGAAAGTGAAGCTGTGAGGAAGCAGCTTCTGCCTCAGGGCATCATTCCAGTGCTGGCATCCTGCATCCAGGTGGGTGGAATAGCTCAGCCATGCTCTTCCCCTGCCCTGCCCCAGAAAGATGCGTTTTCTCATGCCCTTCAGGCGCTGGCTGACAGTTGTGGGTTTCCAGCCCTCCTTCCAGCTGTGGCCACGGGCAGAGATCCCTCTGCAGAGGGCTGTTCGTTGCGAGGGAGGCTGTCCCATGGGCTCTCCTGCACTCCATTTTTGGAGTTCAGGCCACCACCTTGTGCTCTTCTCCAGCTGAATCTCTCGCATCCATAACTGTGCCTTGCTGATAAGCAGTCTGTAACACAGGGAGCTGCAGGCTTCTCCCCTCTGTATGGCTTGGGTCCAGCCAGCAAAATGAGGCCAACACAGCGAGCGGGGCTGTCGTGCAGATCTGAATGCCCAAAGCAGCTCTGTTGCTGCGTTTGGGCTCCTGGATCCCTACATCTGCAGCCCATGTGACTCCGGGGAGGGGGGGACAGCTCAGCTTTGGTGTGGCCAGAGTGTGCTTTGTCACTCACAGTCCCCCGCTGCACCCCCTCTTCCCCAGGTGTGGAGAGACTGTGCTGTTTGGCGTTACAAAGAGGTATCGCCCTCTCACCAGCGTGCTGGCTGGCACCCCGGGATCCCCTGGCTCTGTCAGGTGGGATTAGCTTTGTTCTCTTTGATTGCAGTCCCCACACGAGGCTGTGCTGGAAGGTCTGGGCTACGTCCTGTCGCAGCTCCTCCAAGCCAAGGAATCCCCTGCAGAGATCATACCGTGAGTCTGAGCCTCTTTACCCCGAATCAGGATGGGCCCTGGGGCACAGCGTGGTATTTGCGTGCCCGTGACAATGACGCCTTTCCCATCCCAGTGATATTAATAGTTCAGAGCAGAATCCTACGAGAACCGTGGAGGTTTTGTTGCAGATCAGGGCGCTGGGCTTGAATCTTTACCTTAAGTCTCATCTGTGCAGACAGCTCTGGTATTTCGGTAAAGGACAGTGTCAAGCAGGGTAGGCTTGCAGGGAAATTCTGGCTGTATTCTTCCTGCGAAGGAAAAAATCATCTTGACAGCCCCCAGTGCCAAAAACATGACCCCAGCCGAGGTGTCCTGAGTGCCCCCAGGCCCTGCCGTGGACAGGGAGAGCTCGTGCTGGGCTTTGGTGGTGCTGAGGCTGCAGCCCTCGGGTATGAGTCTCCTCCAGGTATGTTTTTGGAGCATGTGGCCCCAGTACAGGGGTGAGCAGCTCCCAGCTCGCTGTCTAGCCTTGTGTCTCCCTGTCAGTTGTCTGTCCTGCCTGTGCTCTGGCCGCTGCCTCTGTTAACTCTGCTGTTCTGACCCCAGCTTGGTTCTGGACTCTGTTCTCCCCCAGCACATGCTTCGACTGGTTTGCTCTGGCCTCAAGGCTGGGACAGGAGCAGCCGTGGAGTTTGCGTGGTGTCTCCACTACATTGTTTGTAGGTAAATGTGCTTTTCTCCTCATTTTGAGTTCCCTGGGGGGCAGCCAGAGAGAGGCATGAGAGCTTGGGGTTCTGCAAGGGGACCTGGATTGCCTCCCTTCACCCCTTTCCCTTGGGAAATCCATTTCCCTGCCATCCTGGGCATTCCCACTCCTGTATCTGGGCACGCACATGCTGTTCACAGGATTGCACGTTCCTGCACAGGGTGACAACAGGTGATAAACCTAAATCCTCCAAAACCCCCCCAATTGCCTCTCCCATCTTCTGAGGCTGGCTCAGCGTCACCCGGCCGGGCCGGCTGCTGCCCACAATCTCAGCCTGCCTTGGCGTGGCTGCTCCGGTGCCGTCTCTTTCTGCAGCCCCCGCAGAGAGACAGGAACGTGTGGGTACTCGGAGAAGGATCAGGGCTGTGGTTTCCAGTCCCACACAGATCATTCCAGTGGATCCATTTGCCAAGAGCTTTCAAAATTTCTCATAAGCTCAGAGACAAGCTGCTATTCAAACACGAACTGAGCCCTGTCATGTTTCAGGAGAGCACTCTGAATTTGCAACCCCCGTTTGGTGAGGGCTGCAGCAGTTTTCCCCAAGGACTGAGGACAACCACGCTGTCCCCTCCCTTTGCAGCCACACGGCCAACGCGGCATTGCTGTCCCTGGGGGCCCTGCCTGCCCTCACCTCGCTCTTGCTCGACCTGGCTTCTGAAATCCCGCAAAACGCTCCCGAGGGCCTGGAGCTGGTAAGACACGGGCAGGGTACCAGCTGTTCCTGGCATCGCTGTGGGGCTGCGGTCCAGCTCAAGGCCTTTTGTATTTCCCACCATTGCAGCTCGTCTGCCCAGTGCTGCGGTGTCTCGGGAACCTACTCGCAGAGGAGACAGGCTGCGAAGGCCAGATCGAGGACGAGCGTCTGCTCATCGCCCTCTTCCTCATCCTGCAGTGCTTCCTCCAGCAGCACCCGTTCATCATACCCGAGTGTCTCTGGCTGCTGAACAACCTCACGGGTGAGTGTCAGAGCTGCTGCTGAGACCTGCCTTGATTGCTGGCAGTGTCGTGGCGTCCTGTCTACAGAGATCTCCGTCAGAAACCTCATTTTATTGATGTCTCTGCCCATCCTAGCAGACAAACCCTTCTTCTGCTCCGCTCTGCTCTCCCTGGACTTGCTCCCGGCCCTGCTGCAGCTCCTGCCGTGTTCCCAGATGGCCGGTGTGTTGGTAAGACCTCGCCTCGTGCCCCAGGTCTGGGGGGGGAGGCGCCAGACTTTCAAGAACATGAATCCCACAAGTTAGAGGTTGGCTTAGGGCGGCAGCAACAGCTTAACGGAAAGTCTCATGCTGTGGTAGAGTCACCAGCCACCTCCCTGGAGTCACTACATCTGTATTTACCCTGGAGAGAGTCTTGTCCTGGCAGAAAAGGGTTCCCAAGGCAGATGTTAACCTGGGGCCAAGCCTGCCACCACCCGCAGTGGGCCTCTGAAGGCTGCTGCCACCTCCTTTTGGAAGACTGTAAAGCTTTAAGGGGTCCTGGGGGGATGCTCTGCCAAGGGGCAGGTGGTACAGCTGCTTCTGCTTGGCACAGGGACAAACTGAGCCTTGGGGTGGGGGTGGAGACAGCTTTGGGGAAGCACCTGGCAGGACCTCCAGGAGGGCATGAGGGATTCTTTGGAGCCCTCCGAAGCCTGTCAGGAATCTTCCTGCTACCGAAGCATCCATTGCTCACTCCCTCTCACGGCTTCTCCATCCAGGTCCTGACCATTTTGTGCAACGTAGCAGAGAAGGGCCCAGCCTACTGCCAGCAGCAGCACTGGCAGCCTTCCCTGCCCCTCCTGCTGCCCGCTCTCACGCTGC